GCAAAGTTGTGGGCAAGTATAATGTCGAAGCATTTTCAGTAAGGATATGATGTATTGAAATTGTTAATTGCTATCAATCCCCCCCAATATAGTAGGCATTAGGTGTAGTAACAAACAAATTAAATTTCAGGCAAATACTGTGAGAAGAGGGATCCACACCTAGCCTGTATTGCTTACGAACGAGGCCAGTGTGATCGAGAAACTGATCAATGTATGCAATGAGAACTCCCTCTTCAAGTCAGAGGCTCGCTATCTTGTAAGGCGTAGGGATCCTGAGCTCTGGGCTGAGGTCCTCCAGGAGACAAATCAGTACCGAAGACCACTCATTGATCAGGTTAGAGAGAAAAAAGTAGCAGTTTTCAATTTTTTATTTTGTCTTATTAGGTTCACTCTACCTGATGTGACCCAAATTCTTCATAAATTTGGTTTTACTTTTATAGGTTGTACAGACAGCTCTGTCAGAAACTCAGGACCCTGAAGATATTTCTGTCACTGTGAAAGCATTCATGACTGCAGATTTGCCAAATGAACTTATTGAGCTTCTGGAGAAGATTGTGTTGGATAATTCTGCCTTCAGTGACCACAGGTAAATGCAAAAGATCATAAGGTCCTGGGAGAAAGTTAATGGGTAACAAGTAATTTTTGAAAGATTTGGACATAATAGATCAGTTTTCACCTTTCTTCCACTAAAACCCTTCTCCTCCTCCTTGGTGGATATTTTAGGTCATGCAGTGTTAATGGTGTTGATTATAAGAGTTGGGATCAAAATAAATAATAAATGAATTCATCACACAGGAACCTCCAGAACCTCTTGATCTTAACTGCTATCAAGGCAGACCACACACGTGTGATGGACTACATTACGCGTCTTGATAATTATGATGCACCTGACATTGCCAACATTGCCATTGGAAATCAGCTGTATGAGGAAGCTTTTGCCATCTTTAAGAAGTTTGATGTCAATACCTCTGCCATTCAGGTATACTGCCTCTGCTAATTTTCATTTGATATTGATAGAAAATTCAATTTACAAGTGTCATCGTATATCTGCTATTTGACTTGTGTATTGGTTGTAATATTTGGGGAAATTTCAAGTATTTCCTTATCAAGGTCTGGGAAATATTTAGATTTTAACTGTGGCCATTTTGCATCCTAAGGTTTGTTATCCTTATTTTATTTACAGGTGTTGATTGAACATATATCCAATCTGGATAGGGCATATGAATTTGCCGAACGGTGCAATGAGAGTGCTGTGTGGAGTCAGCTTGCCAAGGCTCAGTTACAGCAATCCTTAGTTAAAGAGGCAATCGATTCCTTCATCAAGGCTGATGATCCTACAGCTTATATTGATGTCGTAGATACAGCACATAGAACTGGTTGGTATTTTACATTCAGTGTATGGCTGTATTTTAACCCAGTGTCAGCAGGTGGCAAGACTACAAGACCATGCCCACTGTAATATCTATCGTTTTTACAAATAGATTGCTCTACAAGTGTTTAGTCACCAAGCAGTCCACTTTTAGTCTTTACCTGTCTCCTCTGTTTACCCTTTTCCTTAATTTTTTGAGAGCTTCATTTCTGTTATTTTATTGTCTTTAATGTTATTAATATTTTAATAATTTAATAACCACAATATCAATAAGAATGATAACAATGTCAATATTAATCAAGAAAAACGCATTTTTCCGTCAGTTCAAGGGACGGGGAAATCAGGATCGGTCACTAGGGCCAACTGATAGACTCGTTGCTACTGAGCACATGTGGAGCCATCTGTATGTAACAGAACTCCCTAAAATCTAAAGGGATAGTACATAAACCTGCTGACATTGGGTTTAAAGGTACTTTCAGGCAATATATACTAAGCTTTATGATGGGGGCCACTGGTCATCAGCATGGCCAGAAAGAAAAATAGAGCTGTTTACATTGTTTTGAAATTTCTCCTAGGAGGTGCTAGTGTTTTTTCCCAACCCCCTACATTAGTTGGTTTAGTTCTCATTTTAAAATTCTTACCTGGGTCTCTTGTGAAATTGATTTTAGAACAAAAACCAACTAAAAGACCTGTCTCTTTACAAACTAAGTCTGAAGGCCCTGTCTCGGAAAGCAGATCAAAGAAAAAAAAGGTCACTGAGTGGTGATAAAAGCATATTTTCCATGTTATAGTTAATATGGTTTGCCAAATTTTCTCTGATTTCACACAAAAAAGAAACTAGGAAAAATAAAGTTCTTAGTTTTTTTAATTTAGCTTAAAAAATTATAAGTGCTAATAAAGTCTGACTTCTGTAATGCCTTATTCTTGATATATGTTAAGAAAATCAAAGATTGAATATTCCTTTGATAGAAACAGCAATGTTTCAGAAGAACACACCTACCAGTGACAGGATTTTGATTTGACAAAAAGAAGACAAAGTCTTGATCAGTAAATTATGCCCTAAGGAATCTTTAAAATCTTTTTCTTTAAGGTCACTGGGAAGACTTGGTGCGCTATTTAGTAATGGCACGAAAGAAGGCTCGGGAATCCTATGTTGAGAGTGAACTCTGCTATGCTTATGCCAAGACAAACAGACTAGCAGATCTAGAGGAGTTTATTGCTGCTCCTAACCATGCTGACATTCAAAAGGTTTGTTTGTAGTGTTTTCCATGTTGAAATTTGATAGGTATTCAGAGTAAGCAAGAGTTAATGCTTTTTTATTGATATAAAATCTGTAGATATTTTTATGGAGTCTTGAGTTAACAAATAACTTTCCTATATGCCTTTATCTGTGTATATCCCTTTCAGACCCAACATGGCATAAGATTTAAAGGATAGATATTTTTACTCTTTCTCTGCATGGCCAGAATGAGCAAAAAATGTCTAAAATTTTCTATATTGAGTTTGAAAGGGATATGTATCAAAAAATATATTTAATATCAGTGTACAAATCATTTTTAGATTGGTGACCGGTGCTTCGATGATAGCATGTATGAGGCAGCCAAACTCCTTTACAACAATGTTAGCAATTTTGCTCGTCTGGCCATTACATTAGTCCATCTCAAGGAGTTCCAGGGAGCAGTCGAATCAGCCAGGAAGGCAAACAGGTAATGTGAATGAAAATATTCTAGTCTTTTAAATCAGTTTTCCAGAATCAGTTAAGAAAAAGTAATTGTATTGAGGTTGCATAGAAGGTAAAATATCTGCCTGTTTCTTACTTAACCCTGTGACAATGGCTTTTACCCATGCCATATTGAGCCTACACCAATTGCAGTTGGCTGCTCAAGTTAAAGATTAGAAGCACAGAAAACCAGTTTCCTCAGCTGTTTATGATTGTGGATGCAGTACATATGAAGTCAATAAGAGACTAAACCAACTGTACCTCCTTGACGATCAGTGACAATGGTGTGCATAACATAGAGCAGGTTCGACTACACATTCCATAGTTACTAGGCAGCTTGTGTGACTAGGATAATTGTTAAATGTGCTATTCCCACAGCACAAGAACATGGAAAGAGGTGTGCTTTGCTTGTGTGGACAATGAACAGTTCCGCCTGGCTCAGAACTGTGGCCTTCACATTGTTGTTCATGCGGATGAACTGGAAGACCTCATCAATTACTATCAGGTAAAGTCTATTGGGTTATTATGCTGTATTATAAGTATGATAAATTTGTGTAATGCATTTTCATCAGTTTCTAGATGATGAAATATTAAGTAATGAAAACCATTAGTTACCTTATATTTTTCCTTTATCTTCAACAGGATCGCGGTTACTTTGATGAGTTAATAAACTTGTTAGAGGCTGCACTGGGCCTGGAGCGTGCACACATGGGAATGTTTACAGAACTTGCAATTTTATACTCCAAGTACAAGCCTGAAAAGATGCGTGAACATCTTGAGCTATTCTGGTCCAGGGTTAACATTCCAAAGGCAAGTACTGTTTGTATTACAGCTGCAAAAATACTGACAGTCAAAAGAATACTACAGGTGGATTATCCAAACAAAAATAATGACAGACTATTCAGCTTTATTTTGTTGCTATTATTCCCTTGCAATCCCAGGATATTTGACCATCAAGATTTGCTAGCTGCATGACCTTGATTTTTATTTTATTTTATGTATTTTTATTTTTTATTTTTATTTTTTTAGGTTTTGCGAGCGGCAGAACAAGCACATTTGTGGGCCGAATTGGTGTTTCTTTATGACAAGTATGAGGAGTATGACAATGCTGTTCTGACCATGATGGCTCATCCAACAGAGGCTTGGCGAGAGTCGCACTTTCAAGGATGTCATTACCAAAGTAAGTTCCATTGAGATTTTACACATACAGGACAGTTCCCTTGCTTTGAATCGGTAGTCTGAAGGATATTTGTATACTGTAATATATAGAACTTATTTTCAGTTTATTGATCTACATGCTTTTATGTTAGCCCAACCACCCCAGATTTGTGTTCTGTCTCCTGTAGTTTTTGTGAATGTTACATAAAGATAGCTCCACACAGGAGTCTATTGGTTGGCACTAGTGACCGATCCTGAGTTCTACATTCCTTGAAAATATGTTTTTCCTTTTAATACAATTGATATCTGTACTTTTATTATTGTAATTGATGTTATGATTATTAAGTTGTTTTTTAAATCTTGGTAACATTTAAGACAAAGAAATAATATAAAAGAATCTTTCCAAAAGTCAAGGAAAAGGGTTTTATTACAGTGGGCATGGCATGTATTCTTGTCATATGTGCCATTTTGGTTAATGTTAGATTTCTCTCCCTTTCAGGTTGCCAACATTGAACTGTATTACAAAGCCATTCAGTTTTATCTGGATTACAAGCCCATGCTGTTGAATGACTTGTTACTTGTCCTTTCACCTAGGATGGACCATACTAGGGCTGTTAACTTCTTCACAAAGGTAAGGAGAACTTTGATAGGTTCCAACTTAATTCAGAATCAGTATTTTGAAATAAAATGTTTCTTTAACCATCTCAGTGTATGTATGTTAATTTGGCATTACAGAAAATGTTACTTGGGTCTTTGGACTCGGTATTAATTGGGAAAAAAATGGATTCAATGAAAACCATCAGATTCCATGAAAGATAACGACTTTCTTTTCTCTAATTACATTTTAGGTAAACCATCTGAAACTGGTAAAGGGTTACCTCAGATCAGTTCAGTCTCTGAACAACAAGGCCATCAACGAGGCTCTTAACTCACTTCTAATTGAGGAGGAGGACTACACTGGGCTCAGGACTTCCATCGACGCATTCGACCACTTCGATAACATTGCTCTTGCCCAGTCCCTTGAGAAACACGATTTGATAGAGTTCCGTCGTATCGCCGCTTACCTGTACAAAGGAAACAATAGATGGAAACAGTCTGTAGAGTTGTGCAAGAAAGACAAGCTTTTCAAGGTATGTGGCTATTTGTTCAGAGTTCTTGATTCCTTATATATTTGAGGGAAAAAGGAAAAGGGTAGAAAAAATTTCAAGCTATATTGTTACCATTTCCGTCTTTTCACAGGATGCCATGGAATATGCAGCAGAGAGCAAGAATTCAGACACAGCCGAGGAGCTACTCCAGTGGTTCTTGGAGAATGGCAACTTTGATTGTTTTGCTGCCTGCCTCTTCCATTGCTACGACCTGCTCCATCCCGATGTTATCTTAGAGTTGGCATGGAGGCACAATATTATGGACTTTGCCATGCCCTATTTAATCAATGTGATGCGTGAATATGTCACAAAGGTTAACAAACTTGAGGACCTTGAAAAGAGAAGGGGTGAAGAGAATGAGACCAATGAGAGCAAACCAATGATGAATATGATTGGTGAGTAGCTTGTGCACCCGCTGCTTAATTAAATGTCTTTTTTTTTTTTCAAACTTTAATGCTTGAGAAACCTTTTTTTAAACTTACATGGTATGTCACACAGTTGACTGCAATCTTCCTCACACTCATCAAACCTAGCTATCTCCTATTTATTTATTTTCCATATGTCATCATTGTTTCCTCCACCTCAGTATGTCACATCTATATCCTTTTGAGCTCACACTGCCATGTGTGTTATATTTGATGCCTTCTTAAATGGGTTGATTGGTTCCCCTATTTAGCATGAAGTTTTTAGTTTTTCATTAAAGTTGAATTATTTATTATTCTCATTAGTTACATTCCTAATTATTATTATTATTATTATTAGTATGAATTATTTTTCACTTTCTCTACTGTGTTGCCCAAAAGCTCCAAAGGTGTGTGTCCCTTGCAGGTGAGCCACAGCTTATGATCACAGCTGGCCCAGGCATGATGGGACCTGGCTACCCCAACGCTGGTTATGCTAACAACATTAACTACGGAGCTGGCATGCCCTCCTACCAAGGCTACAGCATGTAAACACTAATTCAGGATTCCCCCTGCAAGTTGATCACCAGTGTGTGAACATTCAGGTTGGTTCAATAGTAATGGTAGACTTTGTTAAACTAAGGCTACAGCTTGTAACTAATATAAAAAGTAATAATAAACAGAGCCTTTATGAGAATGTTCCATAAGTTATTGGAAATGTAAAAACAAAAAAACAAAAACAAAAAAAAAAAATTATGTACCAAGTTGATGACTTATCCCCAGGGATATAATGTGTCCAAAATCTGCCTCTAGAGTTCCACATGATTAACTCAAAGTATAAATGGGCTGAATTTGTTGTGCCCAGTGAGAGCAAAATACAGCTTATTGTTGAGTAGTGTATGGTTAGTGTGAGAATGAGTGAGTGTGCTGTAGAGGCGGTCAGGTCATTCACTCGGCTGTTACACAGACTGTCGTCCTGTTTGTTTATTTTTTATTTTTTATTATTATTATTAAATTTTTCCCCCTTTTCCTTCTATAGTTCTCGTTAAAAGGATTTATACAAAATTTGTGGAGGTGCGAGGCAAGACATGCTGCCTCACATGATGGTTTTATTATATTTCTTTTATTTATTTACTTTTTTTTTCCCACTTTTTAATAGAGTTCGAATGAATATCATTTGGATACCTTGTCAAATGATCCCAGTGTATATAGTTTATCCTATCAAGATTTATGCTGTATGTGACGTAGCACTGTTTTGCCTTTTCCTCTTAGATTGATTTATGATTGGTGTCCCAGTGTAGAGATTTTGAAGTTGATTCTGTGAGGATTTAGAATATAATATGTATATATAGATTAAATCAATAAGGATGATAGACATAATAATTCATGGTGAAGACATACGGTATCCTGTAAACCTAATAGATGTGATTATTTTCAGACTGAAGGATAAACATTAACCTGTCTCTGTCAAACCATTCCTAAACTTAATGATTAGCAGGCTGTAATGCTGTATCCTTCACTCTGACATGAGACTGAAGGTGAAATAGCCGAAGTTTTGTCCATTGTGTGCCTTCGAATAGCAAATGGAAGAAGGCTAAAAACAAAAATGTTAAAAAAATATAATAAAAAGTTGTCCCTTGTTATTGATGAGGTAATGCTTTCCAAAGGCCAATGGTATGTGTTCAATGGTTGTTCATTAGCAATTTAGGGAATTTATAATTGGTCTGGCTTGAGCAGCTTTCCCCTAGGGGAACAGCCTACCTCATTGAAATAGTTCGGAATAAAGTGTAAGCTTGCTTCTACCTGCATTGAAGTGTTGCCAGCTATCTGTAGTTGCACTGAGGTTGTGCATCAGTCAGCTACCAATGTTTAAAAAAGATCGAACACTATCTCCCATTTTCAGCAACCTAATTGGTACACGGTTTCCCGGTGTGATGGCTGGCAGGTATTGCAGCAGTGTGTGGAGAGGAAAGGTAGTTGCCAGGTTTCAGTAAATTTGTTAGAAGAAAAATGTGTATAGAATCTAAAAGTCTGACAATGAAGAACCACTGTATGCATTCTTTCCTATCACCTCCACTCTTTTGTCTTCAGTGACCATGGAACTTACATACTTTTTTGTTTATTATTAGTTTGTTATTGTTATTTTATTGTCATTACTTTTTTATGATTATTGATAGGAGAAACCCATCCAGTGGACACTAATTCAAGCTTGAAAGATAGTTATACTTAGTACCTTAGTTTATTATGAAGGATAGTATTTGTATTTTTAAGTTGAAGCTATTGAAAGTTTTAATGTATTTATTATTATTAGGCAGATGAGTTTGCATGTACATTTCTGTGGTGATGAAGCCATTCAACTCCAGCTAGGCTTCAGGAGAGACATCTATTGACTTCTTAACATTCAGTGGTTGATGCCTGAAACTTAGAGCATATGTACTGTGGCTACATGTCAAGTTTAAATAAACACTCCCACATGAA